TTACTTTATTCTACCTACATTTATATATAATACAAATTAAACTAAGCACAAATTAAAGAATAAAACATTTTCTCGGATTTTGACATAATTTTGGGTTCTTTTTTTTGTCTAAATCTGTGAATTTGTTTTGTTCAGGCTAAGTCTAAAAAAGAACACTATCTAATAAAATTCCCTATTGCTTATCCATATTGAATGTTTTAAAATTATTCAACTTTTTAACAAGACAAATCTCAAGTTGATATTAAAAAAAATTGCCACAAAACATTGTAGATTTAAGATGGAATGATCTTTCTTTGTATTTAGGAACAATGTTTATTTTCAATTTTTATAGTTGAATTCCCACTCTATTGCATATGATCAATTATTGTACATAATTAGGTTAAAATATAAAATTTGTATTTATATGAATACTACTTTATGAAAATTGAGATGTAGTAGAGTGGTGGTGGTGGGGGCGTATCATAGATTGGGGACACGAGACCCTTGCACCACTCCTGGTTAAAAAGCGACTGCTTTTTATCAGATTTACTTTTCATCTCGTTTAGCTTAATGTCCCTCCAGAACACACACAAATCAAATACAAGAAGGCTGTTGAAACAACTAGAGATATAGTTAAATTTTATTATTCTAATAATTTATTTTCTCATACTTCTCACATGTGGAACACTCTTCCGTTTACTTGCTTCTCTGCCACTTACGGTCTTCAAAAATTTAGAAAAATGCAACATCAATCGCTATCTTCTATACTTCCCTTGTATAAGCGAATGCCTATGTGGGGGAGTTTTAAAGAAAATAATAAGCCCAATCCACAGGAGGCTTTCCCTCCATGTTGTAGTACTTTTCCCTCGGGAATGGGGCTGGGTTTATTGCCCGGCCCCTGAGGCATCTCCAAAAGAGGAAGTGCCGAGGGAGCTTGGACAATTTTCCCACAGTATTGCCGTTAAACTCACTTTAAACCTCAACCCTGTCACATTCAGTAGCGAAATGGGAACACTGAAAAATACCCTTCTATCTTTCTGAATCTTGTTCTTTATTGTCCTTTCTCCTCACTAAAGTCTTCTCATTTTCTTTGACTCTCGGTAACCACCTGTGTCTTAGTGACATTATCACCTTGCTTCGGGTGAAATGAAAAACGAAAAAAAAAGTTATTGGTTTATATAACGTGTGCATTATCTTAAATTCTAGGATCCTAGATAATCAATATTGTCATTTAAAGTATTAGGTTGGTGCAAAAATAATGACGTAAGAATGTCGTTTTTTGACGTTAAAAAATACGTCAAAAAACGACATTATTACGTCATTATTTTTGCACCAACCTAATACCAACCTGAATCAATCTAGCTAGCTAGACACCTCTTGTAAAATTTACCAGCAGCTATTTCTCGTAGAGTTCTTAATTTTTTTATTTAATAATTTTGATATGGCTGTTGTATTGTAAGCTGATTGTTGCGATGTCTTTAGCATACTTACCGAGAACCTTGTAAAAACTGTGTAAAAAGTCCACACACGATGATAGCAATGCAGCGTAGTATCTGTAGAAGTTCGCTTTTGTAGGGGAAGTTTCAAAATGTTACGCAGAAGCTCAAGCTCCAGTACCTTTCTCTAAAAGGGGAACTTGAGAATTTTTTACACAGTATTGCTGTTAAAAACCTTTTTAAACTGACCTTGTGTCACATTCGGTTGCGATGTGGGTGCACTGAAAAATACCCGTTTCTTCTCAGTCATGCTCTCTTGTAATGTAGGACTCGATAAAAATCGAGGTGAGCCTGTTTTTAGGAATTCCGATCCTCGAGGAATCATTTACCGGACCCACTGCACAAAATTGGTAGTTTTTTGCATAAAGAAAGGAAACTGGTCTTGGAGATTGGACAATTTTTGACCTTGTATGTGTATGTATTGAATCTCATAAAAACGTATACCTTAACGCTTAACCCCATGCATTTTAAACAGAAACGCACATTAATGCGGTTTAACTTTAAAATGTATTTTTTAAATTTTTTTTTGACAAATCAGTTTATATCCTGTCAAAAGATTGTTTTAATTTTTTTTTTAAATACCAGTCATAGGATCACCAACCATGTTAGGACCTGCGCCACGAAATAATAGTGGCGGGGTGGGGGCTAAATCAAGAGTTAAATGTTTGTGCATGTGGGTGTTAAGTCAGATGTTAACTTTTATTTAACATGTAGCACCTTGCATTATTAATATTACTTCCCTTTCTACTGTATTCTTTTTCAAGGCTCCTCAATTTCAGTATCCTTATTGATAGTTGTTTTCTGTTGCCATAGCAGGATATGACAACACACATATGAAATTCAAACACACTATTGTTCAGTGGCAGGATAAACTTTTGCACAGCAAATAAAGTCACATACAAAGTGATACGTTAATTCTACGTTTTCGTTGGCCCTCCTCATAAAATAAATATTTCAGATTTATTATCCAACAGTGCAAACATTTTGCTTAAATTCACATTCTTTTGTTGTTCGTTTGTACTTATTTTCTGGATATTTTTAAAAATAAAACTTAAAAGATAAGATGAAGTTTTCTTATTTATTTTGAAAATTAATTGCATGTTTAGAGTAGACAAATTATACAGCTAAGTTTATTGTCACAGATTGAGATCAAGATGACAAATTTAAACATTTTTTAGTTTCAAGTTCCAGCAAAAAGTGAGGGGGCTGAATAAGCCCCACTCCCTAGCGGCATGGATGTTCCTAGCTTCATGTGTGAAAGTCACCTTTATACACAACCTTAAATTTTATTTCCACTATAAATGCTGAATGACAATACCAACGGAAAACTTATTTTTATAAGCCGTGTGCATTTCAACGCAACTCTTCACAAAATTAATCCATAAAAAATAAATAAAAATAGAAAAAAAGCTAAATTTTATTTTATTTTTATACGAGATAATTTTTATTTTTTAGACACTTTCATAACACATGACCACTTTTTGTTCAGTTTTTACTTGACATAAAAAAAAAATTTAAAAAAAGTCTGAAATTTTAAAGTTTGATTTGCTTTCTTCTTTGTTTACCTCAGACTTGCTTTCTAAGTTTCTTGCTTTTATTAGCCTTTAAACTAAAGTGGCACGCGTACAGACACGCACACAACAAAGCACAACCAAAATGCCCTGTATGTGGTAATTAATAAATTAATCAATGATTTATCAAAGACTCTTTTTTTACATTAATTTTCGAAATGATTTTATTTTTTATTCTCTAACCCATTTCTTGACTTCTGTATGTGTGGTTACTGGTTAATGATTTTTTTTTTTAGAGATTTGAAAGAAAATTGATTATGTAACAAATTAAAATTCTACTAAGAAAAGAAACAGCTTGTGTATTTTTTCATAAAAATGAAGAAAAGAAAGATGTATAAATAAATGATATTCTGACGTATTCCGGTTTTAAATGTATTTTTATTTTTTCTGAAAGTCTTATTTCAGAATCTTTGTCACGGACCATTTCCATTGGATGCCAATGACGTTTTCACCTTCTCCATGGTGAACGGCAGAATGAGAAACCACTCTTTATGGGAGAGTTTTTTTGTTTGTTTTTTTTTTTTATTTTAATAGATCATAAAAACACAGTCGATTTTTCTTCATTTTTAATCTTAGTTCGTTGGTTGACCAATGTGAATTAAAAAAAAAAAAAAAAAAAAAAGAAAGGTTTCCCCACAAAAATGTTTATTTTCTACCTAAAATAATACTGCCATGCAAAATTAAGTATTTTCTATATTTTAGAAGATTCTTTTAAATTTTTCTACATTTTACAGACATTTGAGTAGGTTTTTTTTTGTTTTCAAGGAGTCTGTTAAAATATATATAAAAAACGTTTTTAGTTTTATCACTGAAGCCGAGCACCCCACCCACTACTTTGAGGTTTTTGGTTTTTGTGCATTCCTTAAATGGACATACCAACGTTCTCATTAAAAACGAAACCCAAAAAAAACTCTTCCTGTAAATAATTTACTGTTGAGTAAAAAACTCAACATCCCAATGGATTTTAGCAAATTATTGGCTTTATTTTAAAATTTTGACAAGACTTTCACTGTTCAGTTGACAATGAATTTAAAAACTAAAAAAAAAAGGCATTAAAAAAGAGTTTTTTTTAAAATCACAAAAAAAAGTAAAAAAAAAAAACAACAAAAAAAAAAAAACAGTACGTTCATCGTGTAAGTAAATTACATTATTAAATACACAAAATTTAAAGTAAGTAGCTTGTCGATATAGTTTTGCATTTATTTTTTAACAATTTTAAAAACACTACAAAAATAACGTCTTTCAAATAACTTTGAAATTTGAATTTCTGTGAAATTAAAATAAAATAAAAACTACATATATTTTTTTTTATCTCATTGGACATCCATAAAATAAATATATGATCATCGTTTGTAGACTGAGAAAAAAAAAAAAGTAAATCGATTTGAAGAGAAACAGTAATTCCGATTTTTTTTTGTCACTTCGGTACTTCCGTAGATAAAGTTGTCTGCTGCACAATCACCAAAAGAAACACTTGCCAGTTAGTGTCAGTGCTTTCTCCAGTTTGCTTCATTGTTTACGTGGATGTCTTGCCAGCATGTGTTGCGGAAATAATTATGTGAATGAAATAATCATTTATTGAGATTTGGGTGTCGACATAGTAACCAATCTTGTAGTTTTAAAGAGTTTTCATCAGCTTGTAGATTGTGTATTAAAAAAGGAAGACATCACAAACAAATCAAAAGGTTCTCCTTGTGTTTGCTACTCTCGTTCTATCTATTTTAAAATCTAATTTGGATGATTTTACAGACATTACAAGAGACCGGTGCTTTTTCTCTCGAGATGGGTTAAGTTCCAAAATACTATGGTGCGAGAAAACCTCCAAATAAATACTGATATAAAAATGAATCCGAGATTCATTTATAAGTAATGGACGGCTGATACTTTATCGCCTACAACAAAATAAGACAAAATAAATACATGACGAACGAGGGTTTGTTATTATCATTATATCATGGCAGAGAACAACAGAAGGTCGCCTGTTACTATCAACGAATTGGTACAGGTAAGTAAAAGTTTAGTACTTTTTTTTTTTAATTAACTTAAATTTAAGTGTATGGATTTAAAAGTTTAAATTGGACAAGTACAAGTTTTCTCTTTGTTGACATTGTTGACATTTTGGGCAGGGCGGAACTATTTTATTTCCGGGGTTGGAGGACCCTTCGCCTTTTTTGATTTCACATCAGCAAATGTGCTGCAATTATTATTATAATTACAATATTTAACAAAATATTGATGTAGTCAGAGCTTTTGATAAAATAAAGTTTTAATTAATTGCTAATTTATTATGTATGTTTTCTTTTTAGTTTTTGTGTCTCAAGAAGCCCTACCGCCCCCTCCCCCAAAAATATTAGGATAAAAAAAATGAATTGCTAATAAAAGGAATTATTGTATAAATAATTAGGGACTCATTTCCCCCACCCACTTTTTTGCTGTATTATATAATTACATGCATAAAAAATATCACTTTGATGACCCAAGAAACGTGAAAAATGTAATCACAATAATTAAAGACTCTTCTTAAATTAAAACAAAATTGTGATAGCCTTTTTTTTTTTTACAAAAAAAAAAAAAAAAAAAAAAAAATGTTAATTTTAAATTAAAATTATCATTTTCGAAAATATATTACCGACAAAAATGGTATATTTTTTAAATTGTTAAAAAGAAAAAATAAATCAATAATACAAAACAAAACACCTTGTATTTTTTTTTTTTAATTTTACTAAAAATTTTATGGCATATCAAATAATTTCTAAATTAAATGAAATTGTATTAACACTAATTAAAATTACTTTGTAGCTTAGTTTTTAATTTTTAATGATCAAAGAAAACAATGAAAATACAATATTGATATTATTTTGAAAAATCTCAAACTTGAATTAAAAATGGTAACATATTGAGTAAATAAAAAAAAATTATTTCGTTTTTAGTTGTTCGAAACAAATCCATAAAATTAGGATAATATTTTAAATTTTATTACCTCTCAAAAATACTAATTTTTGCTAAATTGTCAATGTAATTATTAAATTAAAAGCAATTTGAATTAACTAAATAAAATACAATATTTATGACTTTTCCGGTTTCCTTCATAATCTTCTTAGGTGTTTGTTTTGTTTTTTTTTAATTTAGCTATTAAAATTTTCTGGCTAAATCTTTGAAATTATAAAATCTCGTTAAACAAAGTTTTAAACTAAAAAGTTACTTTTTGACTGAATAAAAAAAAATATTTCCCATCTTTTCAAAAACAATTTTTAACTTGTTTTTATATTTTAAAATTCATTTTGAAAATATCCGTTTTCCCTTTTTAATTTAGTTTTACTTTTTTTTTTAAGTACTGACATTAATTAATGAATGATTAATTTACCACGAAAAAGGCAGAGGCAAAAAAAGTTAAAATCCATAGTTTTAAAAAGCACGTTGCAACTCATGTTGTTGTTTTTTTTTAACAATGTGTACTATTTATTGAGATATTTTTTTTTGTGAGAAATAAATGGGAAGAAAACGTGAGTTTCACATTATCACATGGCAATGAACTGCTATTACGACAAAAAGGATTTATTTTAGAGACAGTCTCAATAACACACATGGTCGATTGTGTCATCATGCTTCTTTTTTACAATACATAGTAAATAAATAATAATCACTACTAGAACTTGAGAGAGACGGATTTGGGTGGGTTTATAAAATATCTCATTTGGAATACAACTTAAAACGTTTGACATTGGCAGGATTTCTGAAATTGGAAAATACATACGCCTTTAAATTTTAACATTTATAAGAGAATTCATAAATTTCAGTTTGTGAATGTCGCAATGCAGGCAATAATTGTCGAAAATCTTCTTAACTCGTAAAGTCAGGGTTAGCCACGTGACTAGTTAAAAAAGTAATTTCTTTAAAAAAAATAAAACTGAAATATAGACTCTTCTTATCAACATTTATAAATATGATTTTATTATTATTATTTTAATAAAAATTTAGTATTTTGGAAATACGAAATACTTTTTTTTAATAATGCATCACTGTTTTTAAGTTTAAAAAAAGTTTGAACTTCTGTTGTACATTTTTTTATCTACGTTTTTTTTTTTTTTGTATAGCAATAAATAATAAAAGTTAAATTGTATGTCGGAGAAGACTAAATGTGATCTGAGTTTAGTTTGTGATTGACTAAAAATAAATCTTAGTTTTTCCTTGTTTATATTTTCAATCTTCCTTTCCAAGATACTAGGAACAATCAACCAAGTAGTGAGTAGTCTGTGACTGAAAAAAAAAAAAAAAAAACTCGTAGTAAGGACAAGGTAGTGTATGTCCCAGAAATTCCTGTTAAAATTTAGAGAGGAATAAGTACCAATTTTCAATATAACCACTTGAAAATTACTCTATGGACTTGTTAATGTTTCTTTAACTTGTTGGTACTTCAACTACTTAAAATCTAATTACAAATTTATCGGATATTGGTAATAAAATGTTATTGTTAATTTTATGGGGGATATTACTCTCTAAATTTCATTCTATTCACAGACGTTCAAGAATTTTAAAGATTTTTTTTTTTTTTTAGTAGAAACAATTCAACTTTACAATTTCAGTTTTTTCAGCTTTCTTTGCATGTGTCCCAACAACATTTAGTTTTTTGTTTGTTTTGTTGTTTTATTTTTTAAAATATGGAGAAACTTTTTAGTTGATCTTCAACAAATCATTGCAACCATTTTGAAATGCTAGTTTAACTTGTTTAAAAATTTGTTTTCCACTTTTAAAAATATTCTTTCCTCAAACGATGTTTTTATAATTGCGTCCTGTTTGTTTAAAAAGTTTAGGGTTTTAAACAGTAAAACTAACTCTTAAATTAATTCTCTATACTTTATCGAATTTCATAATAATTATTTCTAAATCTTCTTAAATTTTTTTTTTTTTTGTTGTTGTAGTGTAAATTTAAATTACTTTTTCTCACCATTCCAATGTTCACCTAAATCAAACCACGTCCTACTGGACGAAACAAGTTGTTACCTTTTCTTTTTGCATTTACACCCGATAACAAAGGTTTAAAATCCTGTTTATTATCTTTTTTAGTCTTACACGCTTGTATCATACATTAGGAAAATTGAAACATTTTTTTAGCTAACTTATAATCTTCCAAGATTTAGTGACATTTTTTAAAGTTCGATGTTTAGTCACTGATTTTGAGAACTTAAATTCAACTGACAATTGCTTTGTAAAAAAAATACTTTTACTTTTAACAAACGAATAATTTAAAGTAGTATAATTGTTTTAATTATCTTAAATCTTTTTTAAAAAGAAAGAAAAAAAGCTATATTTAAAAGATTCATAAAGAATCCGGAAACAATGTGTGTGTTTTTTTGTTTTTTAGAATTTTAGTTTTTTGGGTTTTTTTTTTTTTAGAATTTTAGTTTTTTTAGGTTAGGACGTCGAATAATCTTTTAATTGGTTTTAATACAAAATATTTTTTAATTTTATTGAAGGAAGTGCTTCATTTAAAAATAATGAAGTTACTCTCTCTAACTACTAGTTAAACATTTAAATTTGAATAGAATACAGACGCAAAAAGTTGAAAGTATGTTTTAAGTATTTTATTTGAATTCTTTCACTTTCTTGGCCAATACTTTTTTTATTTTTCTTTCCTTCTTTAATTTGTCTTAACTTTTGCTTTTTAAATTTACCAATAGAGAACATTACTATTAATAAAACAAATTTTTCTTAATGTTAAAGTAAAAATTAAAAAGTATTTTTCAAGTTTTAAAGAACACGTAGGCTGACTGAAATGTGAAATAATTTATTTTTTTGTATTTCAATTTATTTGTATCACTTACCATATTCGAAACAACAATCTTCATTTTCTTCCACTTTTCCATCTTCCTCTTCTCTCACTCAATTTCTTTTGCAGTGTAATACATGTGACATTTTTGCTGGTTTGAAATACTAAATACAATAATACACAATCTCTATTACAAAATGAAAAGATCATTTCTCAACTCGAATTCAAATACTCGTTCTTTTCCAAAATGATTATTTGCAGATATATGTAAAAAAAAAGGGGGGTTTATAAAAACAATTACACAATAAAACGTTAAAAACAAATCATGTGTATAAAAAAAAAAAAAATATTCTTAGTGAAAATTTCTCGCTAGTTATTTGTTTGTATATTTTTTATGCAACAACAGTATCGTAGTGTCATAGTCAACTCCGCGATTCTTTCATTGGTTGCACACTGAGTTTTGCCTTGGTTACTTCTATTTTCGTATTCTCCTATATTGGGTGGCAGACACGGCGAGTTTACCCTACTAAATCATATCTAGGGGGAAATGGATCCATACCTTTCGTGAGGGTATTTGCGCGAAAGTGAATGTAATGAACCCAACCGGAGTTTGAACTCGGCACGCCGATTTCTCGTTCCGTGTCACTAACCATTTACACCACCTGCATATCCAAATATATAATTAACTACAAACAAGTGAAAAATTAATAAAATTAGACACTTGAAAAATAAATTGGAAAATTGCATGAACAGGATAACAAGATTTCTATTGGATAAGAAGAGGCAAACAGAGAAAATACAGATTGTGTTGTACTAATGAGCTCTGCAAAATCCCTGTCATCTCACCATTTTTTTTTTTTTTCTTTCAAGTTGTTTATTACGATTATGTCTAATCTACCATTAGAGCAGATCTGGTTAAGATCTTAAAATTGTATAAATTTACAAACCTTTTTCATAGGAAAATTTTCATTGTAGTAAATACCACGTATGCTACAAGGCTACATTTTTTAAACCCCAGTAGAGATTTAACTTTCATGATAGATATACAAAACACTTTAAGTAGATGATTCTTGTTGTTTGCAACCAGGCAAGAAAGAAAAAAAATCTCAATGCAAATTGGTTTTGTGGTTCTTAACTAAAAATAGTCTTATTTAGTAATAATATTGTATGATCATTTACAAAAATAAAAATTTAAGCCAATATATTCTGTATAATAAAGAATTTTCTTTATTTATTGT